AAAGTTTGGATAGAAACTTGGTGTAGCTAACTACATAACTATATTAAAATGTAATTTTTTAAAGAAAATAGGAATAACATTATAGTTGCTACCAACAAATAATGAAAACTGATTTGAGAAAGATCAATTAGAGGAGCTGAGGGGAGGAGGGAGAGGGATCGAAGTGGAGGTTTCACTTTCCTACTCTCCTGTGGAAACTTTTTTGCAAAACCAAAATGTTGCAAGTTTTTCCTAGTAACTTTTTTAAAGGGAAAATTTAAAAAGGACTTCCAGTGAAATGAGCTGTGTTCCCTTCCAGATTAATATTGGACCAGCAATGAACCAAATATTTGTGAAGTGTTTAGCACAGTGCCTGGCATATACTAGGTCAAGGGTGGGGAATCTGCAGCCTTGAAGTCACAGGTGGACCTCTAGGTCCTCAAGTGCAGCCCTTTGACTGAATCCAAACTTCACAGAACAAATCCTTTTATTAAGGGTAGCAACTAGGTGCTATTATATATGTTTACTCCCTCCCCCATGGAAGGCAATCTCAGATGGTAGGCTCTCAAGGAGGGAGGGGGAACTGAAAAAATCCTTCTGCTTGAGTTGAGTCTTGAAGAAAGTCAGGAAGGCAGGAAGTGAGGTCCCTGGGCATTTCTAATTTTGTTCTCCAGCCCGCAAATTACTTATTTGTACATAGAGTCCTTCCAGTAGAATGTAAGCTCCTTGAAGGTAGGGACTGTATCATTTTTGTCTTGGTCTCCCTGGAACTTTGTACAGTGCCTTCAACATTGCTATGATGATCTCTCAATGAGGGAAACTTCCCCTTCTCAACCCCCCCATCCCCATGCAGAATGACATCTTCTAATCTTTGAAAACTGTCTGGGGTCATTGAGGCATTGAAGAAATTGCTTAATATAACACCAGTAGTCTGAGTCAGAGACAGGACATGAACCTAGGTCTTCCATATTTTGAGGACACTGTGCCAAGCTGCCTTGAACATGGTAGATGCTTGATAAATATCTATTGAACTAAATTAAAATGTCCATGTGTAAGAAGGCCAATTTGGGCTGATTTTTCTGAGCTTTTTTCCTCCCCTCCAGCTGATATGTTCATAACAACAACAATTCCACTGAAGTCCTGCTTTGATCCTTCATCATGTCATAGAGGGGACCATGAGTTCTTAAACGTGATGGCCAAGGGGCAGCTAGGTGGCGCAGTGGATAGAGCACCAGCCCTGAAGTCGGAAGGACCTGAGCTCAAATCCCGCCTCAAATCAAACACTTGACACTTACTAGCTGTGTGACCCTAGGCAAGTCACTTAACCCCAATTGCCTAAAAAAAAAAGTGATGACCAAAAAAGAACATGCTCTGGTCTTTCCAAAGGATCACAGATTTAGAATTAGAAGGGTCCATGGGAACCTAAGGCCTGGAGAGGTTAAGGGACTTGCTCAAAGTCACCAAGAGAGTAATTGGCAGAGACAAAATTTGAGCCCAGGGCCGCTGATTCTAAATATAGCACTCTTTCCTCTGAAACATGGTGCTGCTGATTTCTGCCAAGCTCAGAAGGGTTTGAACAGAGATGAAAAAAATATATACACATATACACATGCATACACACATGTATGTTTATATACATGCTTAGACATAGACATATATGCATACATGCACACATATACATATATACACAGAGATACATATACACTCAAATGCATACTGGTTAGGTTACATCAAGGGTACCACAATAGCACAAATGCTACAGACAGATACATTGACCAAATAGTGATTAAAACCAAGTGGATGAAGAGTGCCCATTGTCCAGAGTCCAGACTTGGATACCCAGATCAATGGACAACATATAGAACTCATTCATCAGTATGTGTGTGTACGTATGTGTGTATGCGTATATATATATATATATATGTATGTATGTATGTATATGTGTGTATTTATAATCTTTGACAGACACTATAAGAGGAAAATGAGTTGGGCTGACTATTGAACAGGAGAATGAGTCGGACAGCTTTGGGAAAATTACAGTCCTTTTAATGAACCCCTAAATTCTTCCTGAAACAAAGGCCTGTCTTTTTCATACTCATCTTTTATTGATATTGTGTGGTGTCATGTCATGTCACCGTATCGCAGTTGCCAAGGGATTGAAGTCAAGGGTATAGCTGAGAAGTGTAGTATTATGTGAACGGGTTACCCATTACTAAGAAAGAATTCAGTTGGGCAAGTGGAGGACAGATGTTCTTAAAGAAATGATTGAAAGAGAAGGTAGGCTGATTATGTGGTAAGCATGAGGGCCCACCATTGGACAGTACATGTGTTCCATTGGTATCTCATGACATCAGGAGGATGTGGAGCCCTTGTGTGGATTTGGGGGAGGACATGGACAAGAGAGGAGTGAGAGGAGTGAGAAGACTGAGAAGGCATGGATAGGTCGAGATTTGTAACATTGGAGGGAATACCACCCAACCCCCCACTGGTGAGAACACAGACCTATTTGAATATCTGAGTAATGGCATCTTGAATGGAAAGATAAGAACCTTATGTTATTGTGGTAATAATGAAAACTTCCCAGGTGCAGTGATGATAATCTGTGATACTAAAGCGATTAGAGACCATAAACCATGGGAAACATTTACTCAAATGAACACTATACTCTCCAGAGTTCTCTGAATCTATTTTGCCCTTTCAGTTTAAACACAGCAGCTCTTCCCTGTCCAATCTAAGATAAACCGAGGGCCCTCTTATTGTATACGGGTGAGGATCTCAAGCAGTGCACCAGAACAAACAATGGAAAGAGACTGGAGTCGGACAACCTGGGTTCAAATTCTGCCTGTTGCATGGTATTATTATTATTGTTCAATCATGTCTGTCTCTCTGTGACCCCATTTGGGGTTTTCTTGGCAAAGACACTGGAGTGGTCCTCCATTTCCTTCTCCAGCTCATTTTACAGAGGAGGAAACTGAGGCGAACAGGGTTAAATGACTCGACCAGGGTCACACAGCTGGTAAGTGTTTGAGGCCAGATTTGAACTCAGGAAGATGGGTCTTCCTGACTTCAGGCCCAGCACAACATCCACTGAGCCACTTGTTGCTCATAATCTTAGGCAATTTTATCTTCTGGAACCTCAGTTTCCTCTCTTGCCTGTTGCAGATTAAATAAGCCAAGTATGGGGGGAGGGAGTAACTAGGTGGCACAATGGATAGAGCACTGGCCCTGGATTTCAGGAGGACCTGAGTTCAAATCTGGCTTCAGACACATAACTATGTGAATGGGTTACCCATTACTAAGAAAGAATTCAGTTGGGCAAGTGGAGGAAAGGTGTTCTTAAAGAAATGACTGAAAAAGAAGGTAAGTTGTGTGACCTTGGGCAAGTGACTTAACCCCATTGCCCAGCCAAAAGAAAAAAAAGAAAAAAAAATAAGCCAGGTATGTAAAGATAGTTCTCTACAAAAAGTAAATTAACAAATTTCAGATTCTCTTTACTAGCCTGGGAAGAAAAAAAAAAGTTAGTAGTTACCAGAGGAGCATAATAACCCTGAGAGACAGGAAGAAAAGAAGAAACCAGAGGGAAGGCTAACCAAAAGTGAGGCCAGCTGAAGGCCAGACTAGGTGGGCAGCTACCATTGGAGGAGCCCAGGGAGCCTTGGAAGCATGTTATACCCTTTGAAGAAAAGTTTTCTAGGGCCATTTTATCCAAGCAAAATGCAAGAATCACACCTGCCAACTTTATTGCCAAACTTCATTGGAATTGCTGGTGACTCATACATGCTGTGAAATCATGTCACTTTTTTTTTTTAATATCGTTACAAATCATGTGCTACTAAGCTTTGTGCTCCTTGATCCAGGACAGCTTAGCATCTTTACCAATTCCATTACTTTAATGAGCCCCAGAATGAAATCCATTCAGTACCTTGGCTTGCTATATACTTCATCACGCAGTTCTTCATAATAATCTCTAGAAGGGCAGAAGACTAATTCTCGAGGATTGAGTGGGACTCTGAAAATTCCTATCACCTGATAACATAGGTGAGTTGAATACTCAGTGACATCCAGGAAAGTAATGAAGGTGGGGGGCAGCAGGGGGTTGGAAATATAAATAGACCATTGCTGAAATTTAATTAGAGACAGAAAATGTTAATAATAAATTCAATTAATTGTGTCCTTCCATGCAGGGGAAGAGACAGGATAATAACTCATTTAAAATGCCTCAATTAGCAGCCTTCTTTCCTGAAGAGTGATTTATGCCAATAATGGACTAGCAGAGTTCTCATAAGATTGCTCCAAATCACCCTTTCTTTAAAAAAAAAACACAATGATTTCCGAGGACATGTTCCGAGAGACACAGCAAATTACTCCTTATAAAATTCCATTTATTATTCTTGCAAATTTACTTGCTAATTGTTTGTAACTTCTTTTTGAAGCCAAAATAGTTTACGAACGTCTGAGCCACCACTCCTGAGACCAAACTTGAGGCAAAGTGATCCTTCTTTCTGAATCTTACACATGCTTTTTGAAGGTCAGTTAATTGCTACACTCTTGAATTTCAGAGGCATTCCACCCTCTTCCCTACCCCAGCTCAAGTGAGTGATTGGTCTTAACTTCTACAGTGTTCTTCCAGAAGAAATAAAAGCTATGACCCAGCCACCAATGGGTTTTAAGCATCCCCATTTAACCACATCAGTTTAAAGAGGTTTTTTTTTTTAGAGAGCGAAGCATAAACACAAAAATGAATAGTATTAATTCCCTCCATTTCCTTTCTTTAACAAGACCTGTGGTCTGAAATACATATTAATGTCTACAATGTAGTTTGATTCTAATTCCTGATAACTTAAGTAAGACCTTTCAAAGAGAAAGGATGCTCTGGAAGCAATCCCAGTATTTTGAGAGCATTTCACACCGGTTTATAAAGGCTAGCTTGGATGACAAAGTTAGGCTCCAAAGATCAGTCTTTCAACGGCCCCAAGGCACGTGCACAGGTATTAAATAATTCAGGCATAATTATTACTTACATGAGAACCGGAAAGGTCTCGCTCCCAAGCCACATTGTCGCACCCCTTCCCCGTGGAAAAGCCCGTACTGGAGCTCCCCAGTAAACTTCTCAAGCTCTTGTCCAGAAGCATTGACAAGCAGGGCTCCGGTCTTGCAGAGGATCTTGGCTTTGACCCACAGCTGGGTTCCTAAGGCTGTTATGACTCCAAAAGAACACGCAAAGCTCAGGATACCAGCAGTGCAAAAGATGACCTTCTTCTGTTGGCTGGGCATGATTGGGAGCCAGGGAAAACTTCAGAGAAAAGACGGCTTGGACAAAGGGTACCGTGCAACTCCTTTGATTCCCCTCATTGAGCCTGCACAACTGAACGCTGAGCTTTGCAGTCCACGCAAATTCTCTCCTGATTAGTTTCCTTGCATGCCGGCATTCAGAACATACCTCACCTCAGACTCTTCCCCTCCACTCTATTCCTTCTTGCCCTTCAGTTTGGGAACTTTGAATGAAGGATCATCGGTAAAATACAACTTTAAAGAGTCTCCTCCTCCTCCTCCTCCTCCTCCTCCTCTCCGTGTCACTTGGTAACAAAGGTTTAAGATAACAGATGGAGTCCTCTATGTAATTCGATGAATGCCTCCTCTTTTCTCACCCGCTTTTGTCTGATTGGATGAGTTGAAACCGCTAGAAATAGGGTTGGCTCTTCTAAGTTATCAGCAACCTGAGAAGTTTTTTTTTTTCTTTAATGCCGGTTTAATTGAGGGAAAGGCGAGATAAAGTGGTCTAGAGAATGCACATATTATTTTCTTTCCTATTTGTAGATGTAAAGTCTTACCCATTTAGACTACCTGAGGATTTTGATAGGCATAGAGCAGGAACTGTGAATCAGGCAACTAGCTTAATTTGCAAGAGGCAGCTTGGGGTGATGACAACAGGATTGGAATTGAAATAAGAATGAAATTTGCACCCCATTGCTGCTACTTCCTAAGGGGAGGCCTTGGGGTCAGTTAACTCCTTTGAGCCTCAGTTTCTCTCTCTGTATAATGGGGGACAAAAATACTCGCACGGCCTATCTCACACAATTTTTAGGGCACATCAAATGGGACTTCTGTCAAACACCTATTATAATTAAGAAAGTCAACAACATGAAGGGTAAAGCATCCTGGATTTGGCTTAAAGCATGAAGAATTGATTCCTAGCTTTATCGGTTACCATCAAGTCACTTAATCTCTGGATCTCTGTAAAAGAAGAGGGCCTTGGACTATATGACCTCGAAGATCTCTTCCAGTTTGAAATCTATTATTTTGTGAGTCCCAGCAGAATCTCTAGATCTGGTAACTTCCCTTTCCTAGAGTTCTAAGGGGAATGGCTAAAGGACCCTTGGTTCAGTGGCCAAGTTTTCATAGCATATAGTTGCTTGCCTTGGATTGTGACAAGACACACTTTCCTCTGTATTATCTGATTACTCGAGGTAAAATTCAGGGGTTTCTATGTGTGAGTGTGTGTGAATTCTCTTTCACTGGAATTTTTCTCCTGGCTCCAGATCCCCTGAGGTGGGGAGACCAATGAAGTATACCTTACCAGTCAGGGGATCGTTGGGAAACCTGCCCATTACAAGAGATGTCTGGGTCTCTTGCTAGGATCTAAAAGGGCCTTGCAGAAAAATTAGACAAGCTAGTCCATTCTAAAAGCAACTGGATCTTTTGTTGGAGCTGTTTAAGGAAGATTCCCTAAAAAGAAATCCATGAGGGTTAACTGCAGGCACTCGAGGAAGGTGGGGAAGGAGATCAGTAGCAAGAGGAGGTGGTAGGGTGGCCCAGTGAGCCCCTCTGTATGCTGGGGCCAGGAATGAGCCCTCCAAACAAGGGCAGCCTCACAGTGGAGTGAAGACTAGCAATTCCAAAGTGAAACTAAGAAGGGACAGATAGGGACAGGGGGTCCACGTTTAAGGACAGTTTTAAGGTCCATACAGCTTTCAAATCTTCATGAGTGTCATCACTATCACCGTTATCAGCAGCAGCAGCAACATGGCCACCATTTATATATAGCACCTACCATTTGTCAGGTACCATGCTAGACTCTATGCAAATGTTACCTAATATGATCTTCACAATTACCCTGGGAAGTTAGTAAGTAAGTACTATTATTATCCCCATTTTACATGTGAGGAAACTGAGGCAAACAGAGGTTAAGTGATTTGGCCACGGTCAAACAACTTCACACAAGTATCTGAAGCTGGATCTGAACTCGGCTCGTCCTGAATCAAGGCCCAGTACTCACTCCACTGAGCCAACTAGCTGCTAGGACTAGTCTAGGATCAGAGACAGTCAGTTGTTTTTATATGGAGGGGAAGAATCTTACCGAAGAGAGTCTAAGAATACAGGCAGGGAGCTTTTCTAGTCTGGAATGTTCCAAGGATAGGGGTGGGGTAGGAGGTTGGCAGAGGAGAGTCAGGGCAGAAGGAAAGGGGGTATTAGGTATGAGGAGGGGACATGACCAAAGCAGACAAAAAATAAGACAAGGCTAGAAAAAAGAAGGTTCTCTTACCTACTGTACAGAGATAGAAGAATTCAAACTTCAGATTGCCATTTCCAATAAGAATCTTCAATTATGTGTAGAATTTTCTTGTTGTAGGCTGATAAAAAAAAAATCCCCTTCAGGCTTATAAGGCAATTAGATGGTACAATGGATAAAGTATTGGATTTGGCATCAGGGAGTCTTAAATTCAAATCTGCCCAGATACGTATTAGCTTTGTGACCATGGATAATTCATTTAGCCTCTGTCTGCCTCAGTTTTCTCATCTGTAACGTAGAGATAATAATAGCACCTAGCCCCTATGAAAATGTAGGTGAGTAGCTTTTCTACAACATATGGTCTTAGAGAGTTGTCTCAAGCACTGGGAGAATGACTTGTCCAGTTACACAGTCACTATATGACTACAATGGGGCTTGAACCTAGGTCTTCCTGGTTTTGAGGTCAACTCTTTCCACCATGCCATATTGACTCTACTCCCTGAAATATTATGGTTTTTAAAGGATGGATTTTGAGATCATTAAAAATGCCACTCAGTTTTCTAAAGATAATTCAGTCTGCTGCCATTCTCTTATCTGATTTTGGACCTGATTTACTATTCATCTTCAGCACCATCTGAGGTCTATTTATGGATGAACCAACTTCATAGACAATCAAGCGCGTGTTATAGTGCAGATTTAGCTTATAGAATTAGAGTTAGGTGACGTCTCAAAAGACACATAGTTCAACTCTTCCTTTTATAGATGAAGCACCTGATGCCTGGATAAGGTGAGTAATTTGCCCCCAAATCACCCAAGCAGCAGGTGGCAACCATGGGGGTTCAGCCTAGATCTGGTTACTTCATGTCCATCATTGTTTCTACCATACCACATTGCCTCATCATTCATCACTAGTTTTTTTCCTGTTTGGATTATTGGATCATTAAGGAGGCTCAGCAAATTTGGGACTTGACAATTAGTACCATATCATCCACCAGGGAGAGCATCTGGAGGACGAGGAATCCACCCTTCTATCTGAACTCCATGTGGACACCATCCATGTGGACACCAAGGGATGCCTTCAATAAGCATTCATTTCCTAAGTGTCTTCTATGACTCGAGCACTGTATTAGACAAATACAAAAAAGGAAACAGACCTTATTCTTGAGGAGCTTACATTCTTTTGGGGATAGAAGAGTTGAGGTGAATGCAAGTAATATAAGATATTTTGGTGAGACTTCAACAACAGTAACTGAGGGAATCAGGTGGCTCTGAGTCTAGAGTCAGGAAGACCTATGTTCAAATCCATCCCTAGAAACTTTTGTGTTACCCTAGGAAAGAGACCTAACTACTGCCTGCCTCAGTTTCCACAACTGTAAAATGGAGATAGTAATAGCATCTACCTCCTAGGGTTATTGTGAAGATCAAATGAGTCAAAATTTATATATATGAAGCACTTAGCACAGGGCCTGGCATTCAGTAGACACTTAATAAATGTTTGTTTCCCTCCTTCTTGAAGAAATCTAGGGGTTCAAGAAGGCAGAAGTGAGGAGGGAGAGCACGCCATGAATGAGGCAAAGTCATGGAGGCGGGAAATGGAATGCCTTGTACAGGGAACACCACGTGATCCAGTGTGGCTAGAATGTCAAGTGCACGAAGGCAACTATTAATGGTTTACCAAGCCTGGAAAGACCAGATTATAATGGGTTTTTAATGCCAAACAAAGGAATTCCTATTTTATCCTGGTGGCTTTTGAGAGCCACTGGAGCTTATGGAGAAGGAGAGTGATAAGGTGCTTTAGGACCTGTGTTTTAGGAATTTTAATTTGGCTTGTGTGTGAAGGATGGAATGGAGGGGAAAAAGAGAGAATTCAGGGAGGCCAATTAGGAGGCTATTGAGATAGACTAGGCAAGAGGCGATAGGGACCTCAGCTAGGTGAGTAGAAAGAAGGGAATGAACAGGAAAGGTTTTGTGAAAGCAGAATTGATGAAACATGGCAATTGATTGACTATGAGGGATGAAGGAGAGGGCAGAATCAAGGATGGCTGCAAGGCTGTGAATCCGGATGAGAGGAAGGATGGTAATTTCCTCAACAATCAATCAATAAGCATTAATCATGGGGGGTGGAGCCAAGATGGTGGAGTGAAAGCAGCAACTTGCTTGAGCTCTCCCCCCAAACCCTCCAAATACCTATAAAAATGGCTCTAAACAAATTCTAAGGCAGCAAAACCCACCAAAAGAGCAAAACAAATTTCCAGCCCAAGACAATCTGGATGATTGATCAGAAAGGTATATTGCGCTAGGTCAGGAGCGGCACAACTGGAGCAGGCCTCAGAGGACTGAATCATGGGCAGCTGTGGCGGTTTCCAGACTCCTCGATCCACAAATGCCGAAGACAACTTAGAAGATCAGTGGGAAAAGTCTGTTTCTTCGGTGCTGAGAGAGGAAGGCAGGGGTGGGCAGCTGCTTCCCGAGCTTCTGGCCCACAGACTGAGGAGGAATAGAGTGGCTGATCAGAGGGGAATTGCAGGGATCACTCTGCCGTTGCTGAGGCAGGAATCTCTTGCTTTGCCGGTGCTTGGATCTGGGTCACAGTTCTGGGTGGCAGTCCTGGGGTGAGGAGGAGCACTGGCCTGGTGGAGCTTGTTGTGGTGGTGCAGAGGAAACCTTCCTCACAGTTCCAGGAAAGAAAAGAGAGCTTGTGGTCACTAATAGACCAGAGCACAGGCCAGGAAAGGAGTAAACACCTCTCCCCTTATCATAGCACCTTGTAAGAACTGAAAATTTATGGGTCCCTACAAGTATCTCTGAAAACAGCTATATAAACCCCCGAAGCTTGGGGCAGTACATTCTCCACATGGGAAGCAGACTCTTACCTTAACAAAGAGTTTAAAACTCAAGTAATTGGCTGGGATCATGAGCAAGCAGCGCAAAAAGAGTCAGACTATATTATCTTACTTTGGTGACAAAGAAGATCAAAATATACAACCAGAAGAAGACAAAAAAGTCAAAGCTCCTACATCCAAAGCCTCCAAGAAAAATATGAATCAGTCCCAGG